CCTCAACACCTTGGCTGCGCCTAGAAATTCTGTCCATGAAAGTAATGAACAGAATCGATGACAAAGAGCAGTCTTGATGGAGTCCAGTTGGACTGCAGGTTTCTAATAAAATGCAAACGTAGGTTTGACTAAAATGTTATCCGATGCCAGATTGTTAAACCCCTTTATTTACTGACCTTTAAATTTCACTAATCCATGTTCATTCAGGATCTGTTTTTGTTCGTAATCTTTTGTGTTTAAGGATTAGGTTTGTTTTGTTTCTTGTGCTACCATTTCATTCTCCCTGTACTTTTCCACGTCAGCCTGCGACTAACTGTCTGTCACTTTTTTTTTTTCTGTCAGCCATTATTCCCATCAGGCCATATATCCTGTCAGTTTCACCTCCCACATCAGTCTAACATTACACATTCCTCAACTCTCCTCGTGTTTCTTCCCCAAGTTTTTAAAAGTAGGTTTTGGCAGCCTCAACAGTATTTTTGTTTTGTTTTAAAATATAATTAATATTGTTTTTTGAACTCTTTGGGTCAGTCTGCATTTTGGGTCCAAACCTGCTAATCATGATAAATAAGTAACCACATTTAGTCCTGCTCAAACAAATCAAAAGTATTTTAATTCCATGCATGKTTTATCATGTCTAACATTACCAGTTTGAATTGTTTTTTTTTGTCTTGAAGCCTACATTTTTTGTGTTCAGCAGTTCATAATTCACACTAACCTTTTTCATTTTGAGTTTCATCTGTCATGCTCCAAATAACTACAACAAGCTTTAAGATTAGATGTCAATTTTCACACCATTTATTATTCATACTAACAGGTACCCCGCCCCTCACACTGCGATTGCTGGAWATGGGCACCAGTGACCCCRGTGACCCTGAAARGAAGTGACGGGTATAGATAAAGGATGGATGGATACTAACGTTTGACAAAACATTAACATCAGAACTCCACTTTCACCATACAGATATATTTCTAACTTGGAGTGAAACTATTATTTTCATTTAATACAAAAGCGCAAAAAATGTTGAAAAACAAAAAGCTCCAAGGTTAAAACAAGTCTTGCCATTTTTGGTTGGTGTTCATATTTTGACCAGCAGGGGTCTCTGTTCACCTAGTTTTAACCTCATCCTGTGTAAACTGAAGTCAGGAATACAAAMAGCCAGAGCAAAGGTCAGAGCACATTTCTTTTGTATTGTTTCACTTTTCTTTTGAATTGTTTCACATTATACAGTAAAAACAGAAAAAAATGCAATGATAGCACAAAAAGGCAAATTCATTCAGTTTATTAGTGCATACATTCATTTTGCTATGCATCTTTACCTAATTTCCCTCTGGGATCAATAAAGTATTTTTGAATTGAATTTGAATTGAATCAAAATGTTTACATTGCAAAAATATAAATCAATGTTTCCCCASAGTTTAATTACAAGAATCGAGTTTATCGTCAACACAAATTTTACAAGTGAAACTAAATATACTTTAAGTGTTTTATACTGCCTCCTTCTTGTGGCATAAAGACAGTTATACTGATACAAACCAAATAAAAAACTTATAGTCACGTATGTATAAATTAGATGTTTGACATAATCAGAAAAACAGAGCAATACAAAAAACCTACATATCCTTCATTTGGTAATGCCTACTTTAAGCTTTTTCTTTAAATGAGRATACAAAAAAGAAAATGAAAGCATTGGCTGTTCTTTACTCTCAATAAATGTATTATCATAGTAGCCTGCGTGTGGAGGTAACAGTACCAAACAAGCTTGTAAATGAGCATGAATCACCCTCACACGCCCAWCTGAATGTGTCAGATGAAAAACATGCCGGCAAGTTTCAGACTAAAACCAGAACAACAGAATGACAATGCGGGTAAYACTGAGGACGGAAACATGAAAGAAATCAAATAACAATGAGGCTGGGTTACAGAGAACAGTGACACAAACTTTGGAGTTACACAATTCCTTCAAACAAAAATATTAAGGCAGTGAATAAAGTGCTGTTTGTTCTCCTTGAACTTTTACAAAAATACTAAGTTTACCCCTTAATCATTCACAAGTCCACTGACAGATTTCATTAGGATTCAATTTTTTTATTACCATAAATAGAAAATGAGTTTGAGTTCTCTATGTCTCTGTCAAGAAAAGTTTGAGTGCTTTCACTGGAATTTTCCTTTAGAGTAAACACATACTTACAGTACTTAGTCATGCAGTTCAAAACATCAACGTAAAGATGTTTTTGCACAATTGTCAAGGATGACCACTATTAAAATAGTTTTTTTCAGCACTTGAAAAGAATATATCATATGCTGCAAAGCATTGTTTGTCTTATTTTTTCTCTAAAAATGGCACTCGACCCTWAATTTCTTGCTAATTGATTACATTTAAGTACTTCTTTGTTGTTGTTGTTGTTTTAAAAATTAGGGTTGTGATCAACCCGAATGATAGCTCACAGAATTTGAAAAGAATSAGGTCAGTGATGAATATCAGGCTGTGACCTGAAATGACCTTTTGCAATCATAAAGATAGGATCAACACGTGGAACGTAAATCTCCCACTGGAGCAGTATGTATGATACTGGCTCACCCGAAAAGAGTCAAACACAAGTGGTTAGAGAACTCCTCTGGTGCTTCTACTGTTACCTGAGATAATATATTTATGAATATCTTCTACTCRTCTTGGACAACCAATTCCCATTTGCTAAAAATGGAGTTTGCATTTGTGTCTTCGTCTCCCTGTAGCTGTGGCAGCTCTGGTTGCCTGATCTCGTTGCTCCAGTAATTACATGTGTTTCCACCCTCCCGCTCATCTCTAGACTCGTTTTGCTCTGCTGGCTGAGCTTCGGGTTGAATCACAACACAGGAGTAGTCTTCTGAAAAATCAGACTCCTCAGACTGGACCGGAGGCACGTTTGGGACATTCCGAGGAGCGTAGCTGGAAAGCAGAGGAATATTCTCGCTTCTGTTTCTTCCCTCCTGACCTCCCAGTTCTCTTCCATCTGTCTGTCTCCTGTCTTCTACCTCCTTCTGTTTTTGCATGTTCAGTTGGACACCGAAGAGGCCGGTTAATAGGTTTCTGCTGAAAAACAAACCTGAAGTCTCCCCATCTAGCCTTTCACCTGTTACTGACTCCTGAGAAGATGGAACTGGTGCCAGTGGTAAAGTCAAACTTACCTCCGGCCACAGGTGCGCCTGTAATAGAGGGACAGCCTCTGCCTGTTGTGGGGCTTGTGATTTATACCCTGTGTCGTCCAAATTACGGCAGACGCAGGTATTTTCCTGATGCACATAAACACCGACTGATTGTTCGGGTTTCTCACATGTCAGAATATTCTGATTGTCTCTTTCATCATCCTCTGCTCTGCCAACTTCACCATAGTCWTCTTCTAAATCATGCTCAGGGTTTTGAGGGGTGTATATGGGCGGGGGATTTAAAATAATGTTTGGCGAAATCTTAGGACAATAACGTGGCAGTTCTCTAACGGTCACAAGGTTGGTAACGTCTGCAGGGTACTCTTGCGGAGGAGGGTAAAAGGAAGGTACGCTCTGGGGAGAAAAACGTGAAAAATTAAAGTTGGCAAATTTTCACCAGCAAGTTAAGGTCAAGGTARTCATTCAACTGCCAATGTGTGTATTTGAAAGTGTGCAGGTCTTACTAGTATATATGGACTCTTCTGGTCGTTCCCGGCAAGGTAGTGATAGAGAATGTATCCAACTACCACAAATACACAAATGCACAGAGCTGGGACGACAATCCCCACAAGTGAACTCTGCAGCTGCTCAATCACAGGATCTGGATGGAGGGAGGTATTACAGCAGGCTTTCAGTCACTGTGACTTTCTTACAACTCTCTGTTTATTATGTTACATAGGTYGTGATAAATTTCACCAAAATACAAAAACACTAAAGATGGGACTAGCCAATTTGGCGCCCTAAGCAAGATTTTAGGCGGCACCCTTTGTGCAATTTTCTAAATCTCACTGCCAGTTTACACCCATTTACACACAAAATTACATGGTTTTGTCTTTGAAATTRTTTTTTATCTTTAGAAATAGCTTGTACAATTAAAATTGTTAACAATAAAGTTCATTTGAAACAGAATACCAGAAGTCTACATCTGCTGACAGCAATGAAGAACACCTGTTCACGTTGACAAGCAGCTGTGGAGCGAAGCAGTTCTATGGGGGGGGTCCAGGGTTATACTCCCAAATTTTGTAAAAGGTCTACGAATGCATTTTCCAGCCTTTTGAATGGCATTAAATTCTTGGGATTAATAAAACGACATAAAATCAGTATTTTATGAAGGTAGAACACTAAAAAGTAGACTTTAACCTGACTTTTATCTGAGATCATAACTTAAACTTCCATTATTCTTTTTTTTTCTATTTACACATTTACTAGTAGTTAGTCTTGACTGCATCGTATGAAAATTTTATCTCTAAACATCCTCTGCACCATATAACGTCATGTAGTAACAAACCAAGCCGAGAAACCCATTGAACAAGTTACTG